GGGGGGGGGCAGCTAGGGGTGGGCCCGACGAGGCCTGCGGCGAGGAGGGACACCGGTGGGAGTTGGGGCTTCGTGGGACAGGCTAGGGGCGGACCGCTTCGGTGAACCCATCGGCGAGCGAGCACGATGCCGCAAAGTCAATCTCGGGTGTTTGAGGATGGGGGGCAGGACGAGAATCTGAAGGCGCAGAAGAAGTGCTGTTTGTACAAGTACATCCGCGTGGGACAGAGTCTCGGCGAGAGATTCCGCGGCAATCGCATGTTGAAGTGCATTTTCTGCGGCCACGAGTTTCAGGGCAACGAGTTCGTGGCAGCGCGCCATTTCCGCCAGGGCAAGGGATGTCCGGAAGTGACAGACGAGGCACTTGTCGACATCCACTATAACAGTGAGTACAAGATGTCCGAGAAGTTCCTAGAGCGGATACAACGATTTGAGGAGCTTCACGGTGCGGTGCCTGCGGTGGATCCGCAACGGGACGAGGGGGGGAGGGAGAGACGAGGGACGCGGGGGAGCAGATCAATGTGGACGACGACGACGAGGAGGTTGCACGGGCGGGGTCGTCAAGGAGGGAGCGAGGGAAGGGCGTTGTCAGCGAGCCGGGGGGGCAGCATGGCCAGTACTTTGCGTCGGCGCACGTGTCGGTTCGTGCACGGGCAGGTGCGGATACGCCTGAGGCAAGTGCGTCTGCGGGGAAGAGGAAGGAGAGAGAGGAGGGGGACAGACCGACGGCAGCAGCCGCAACACAGAAGAGGATGAGACAGAACACGATCACGGAGTCGTTCACTTCAAAGTGGCAGATGAAGTTCAAGAAGAAGTGGCTACGGTTTGTGTACAGTCAGCGCCTGGCGTTCAACGTCTTCCGAAGCGAGCCATGGTTGGACGTCGTCCAACACTTCAGGGACTTGCCGGGGCCAGTGAAGGTGTTGTGGCCTTCAGAGAATGAGATCGCGGACATAGAGACCATTGTCCACACGGCGGACGATGTGGGAGCTGATCTCGCGGAGGTCAGGGCTCCTTTCTATGTCACGGGGGCCACCATTATGTCAGACGGAAGGAAGTCACGCGATGCTAGACCCATCGTTAACTTCCTTGCCGGCGGGTCGCGTGGGGTGATGCTCGTCCGGACAATGAACAGGGAGGGTGAGCGGGATCGGGCGCCTGATGTGTTGGCGCGGTGGATGAAGGTGTTCGATGACTTCCCCCCTAAGTGGGTGAACGCCATCTGCACCGACTCCGCCTCGGCGTACGTCGCCGCGGCGAACATGCTCCAGGGGCCCCAGCAGAGGCCGGAGCATCGACGGATCACGTGGCTCCCATGCGCAGTGCATGTCTACAACAAGACGTTGTCAGACATTGGTTGTTTGGGCCCGTGGTCCAAGGACATCATCGTGAGGGGGAGAGCGGTAGTGCGCTTCATTAAGGAGCACGGCGCCGCTCTCCATATCTTCCGGGGGGAGAGCAGTCAGATGGGCCTCATCTATCCTTGAGAGACACGTTTCGCATCCGTGTTCGCGATGGTGGAGCGTTTGCTGGCAGTGAGGTCATCTTTGGAGAGGACGGTGGATGGCGATAGTTGGGTTATGGTCCCTTGGGACCATTCAGTTCGTAATTTGGCTAGGTGGGTCAGGTGGCAAGTACGACATGGCAGTTGGTGGGATTCCATGGGCATCTTGCTTCGTATCATGGAGCCTGTGTATGACCTGCTGCGCAGGTTGGACCGCGGAGGGCTGCACATGTCGCGGGTGGTTGAGTGGACGCAGGATCTGGCCCGCAAGGTGGCAGAGGAGGTTTGTGCACTTCCGCCAGATCTTGCACACTACATTGTGCAGAGGGTGTAGGCTCGATGCGCTCACATGCTGGAGCCGGCGCACGCCGCTGCTCACCTCCTCTGTCCCAGCCGGCGGGACTTGCGGTACTTCGAGGGCGTGGTCAGCGACTACGACGCGAGCTTGGTGAGGGAGGCGGAAACTTACATCTTGTCGCAGACAGGGTTCAGTGTGGCGAGCCGCGACTACGAGACCGCATGTGCACAGTTGCGCGACTTCCACACACGGAGGGGGACGATTGCTTGGGGGGGGAGAGACAGAGACAGAGATGCACAGAGGTGCAGGGGCGATGCGAAGACGTACGAGTCCGGGTGTTGGTGGTCGAGGTATGTGCAGTGCGCCCCGCAGTTGCAGGTTATCGCTCTTTGTGTGATGTACATGTGGACGTGCTCCTCTCCTGCGGAGAGGAATTGGGTCGTCCACGAGGGTGTACAGACGAAGAAGCGTAACCGGCTTGAGTTCGAGAAGGTCGCGAAGTTGGTTGAGATCTCAGCCAACGTCCGCCTTCTATCTCATCATTGAGCAGGTCGCGGGTTCGCGCTGCCGTGGACTCTAGATGAGTCGTTGTTGGACGTGGAGGGAGGTATCGGGATTCACCCCTCGTGGAAGGGGACGGACGAGAGTAGGACGCGGGAGAAGGTCGAGGATAAGAGACGTTCATGGCTGCGAGACCCATGTGGGTCCAGAGCTCCTCCGGGTGATGTGGGCGATGTTTTCGGGACTTGAGCCGCCACATTGCACCCGTACCCTCGAGACGACAGTGATTCCGAGGGTCACAAGGACAAGGACGAGTCGGCGGGCCCCGCTAGCACCACTCCTGCGGCGGATGAGCGTGATGAGTGGAGCGACCCAGAGGACGTTCGTAGACGGAGTGGCGGAGATGACCTTTTCATTTAGGTTGATTTGGAGGAGGAGTCTGGGGGTCGTCATGGGAGCCCTTTAGAGCGTCCGAGGCCCACGTCCACCGTTTTGCTTCCCGCTGAGCGGAAGACAGATCCTGGGTCTGCACCTTCGAGGGGGGCAGAGTCGGGGATTGGCCATCATCCTCTGGGTCGCTCTGGCACGACATCATCCACCGCTTTTCCCACTTCGACGGAGCAGCTTCATCGACAGCCAGCCGTTGCAGATCGATTGCAGAGATTGGTGAGGGGCCCGAGACAGCGATTGGAGGACAGATTGGAGGGTGGTCCTGTGCCGGTGCAGGGTGATGACGGAGACAGACAGGGGTTGGTTGGTGGAGATGGTGGTGCGCTGGCCGGAGGTGGAGGTGGTGTCGAGGCTGATGCGGCGGTTGAGGGGATACCGATGGGCGGCGGAGGCGGTTTCAGTGAGTTTGGCGATATGGGTATGCCCCTGGGAGAGATTGTGGGTCTGGCCCTAGGAGAGAGCGAGTCCCGTGGGGACATCAGTGTGGGTATGCAGGACTTATTGGGACAGATCAGCTTCGCGGACCCGAGTAGTTTCTCCCCTGCCATGCGCTCAGAGGTGATGTTGGGGGCAGAGGGGGATGAGGACCGGACACCCCCTGGAGAGACATCTGCAGAGAGGCTGGATAGGCTTGATAGTCGTCGAGCGTGCCTCATGGCACAGAGGGACCCCAGGACGCAGGAGCTCGCCCGTCTTGCGGCCGAGGACCGACAGAGGCAGCTGGGGACATTTACGTCAGCGTCTGTTGACGCAGGGCCAGCTGCCCACACGGATACTCCGGCAGAGGTTCACGACACGACGCAGCGGGAGGCAGCTTCGGCAGAGGTTTCGAGTACGGGAGTGGATGTCCAGCAGAGGACGCACGAGAGCGGGTTGGCACCGACAGAGGAGCCACATTCGGAGCCAGCGCAGCATCCTGCCGTGGAGCGGAGGCCAGAGGAGACATTGAAGGAGGTCACGGGCGTGCCTCTGCCTGCGGGTTCAGTGGAGGGTGCCGTGCATATGTCCCCGGGTCTGGAGGACATACCGACGGGGCAGTCAGTGGGCGTTGATGATATTCGCCCATCGGCACAGGCGGAGGGGATAGCGCCGACCACCGGGGGGGACGGGGCCGTAGCGGGGACCGTTGGTGCTGGCGGGTCGGGGGTGCCGTCCGCGGCCGATCCGATGTCCACGTCTGGTGGGGGAGACCCCGCACAGGTGGACAGGCGTGATGCGGACGGACAGGAGATGCCACAGACTTTGGTGGTTCGCACTGCTGTGGGGCCAGTGGTGCCACATCAGGCACCGTTTTTGGAGGGTTTTAGGCGTCCTGCACATGCGGTGGCCCGGTCGAGGAGCGATGTGTAGGCAGGGGCGCGTGCATACCCCCGGTCCCTACTTTTGCGCCGTCACGGACGAGGCCGGAGATTAGGCATGTGGCTACGCCTCGAGGCAGCCTCCCTTTTGGTTTTATGACCACTGAGGAGTTGGAGGACCACGGCAGGAGGGATTTGACGGAGATCGACCAGCGCGTTTTGAGGTCAGTCCCAGGGGAGGGGAAGCTGCCTCACGTGCAGGACTTATCTTGGGGGCCAGCCAGCCCCAGCTTACCTTCTGGGTGTTCCGTCGCAGCGCCATCTGGCGGGGCTGCAGGGGGCTTACCTTCTGGAGGTTCCGTCGCAGCGGCATCGGGCGGGGTCGCAGGGGACTTACCTTCTGGAGGTTTGGTCGCAGCGCCATCTGGAGGCGCCGCAGGCCCTACGTCACCCTTGAGCGCAGCTCCGAGGGAGGGCGGCAGCCTCACCCCGAGGTCAGTTGCTCGTAGACGGAGAGACACTACTCAGCGTGCGCGGGAGTTGTTGGACACCATATTGTTCGGTCGCACAGATCGACCATGGAGTGAGACGAGGCGGGTGACGACGGCGAGTGTCGGTCGTCAGCCAGGTTTGATAGGGGTTTCCACGAGCGCGAGACGTCGAGATGTTGTAGCTGCAGGGTTTGGCGGTAGAGGGGGTGGCGGCGGTGGCAGTGGTGGTGACGGTGACGACAGACGTGAGGGTGCAGGCGGTGCCACGACGAGCGTAGTGGATCCGCCGCGGACGTACGGTTTGAGAGAGGCATCAATTATTTTGGAGGAGCTTGATGTTGTTACACGACTGAGGCAGACCCGACACATGCCCTTAGATCGACGCCAGGAGGGGGAGACTTCAGGGACTGACGGTCTGCCTATGGCACGCGAGGCACGCCGACGTGATGACCTAGCAGCAGCAGCCACCAGGACGGTGAGAGGCAGGAGAGTCATTATGGACGACGATCCCGACGAGCTTCCCGTCACTCCCAAGCCTCCCGCTGGCGGACGCGGCGGCCAGCGTCAGAGAGATCGAGAAGGCGGCAGAGGTCGATCCCACGGAGGAGTTTCTCATCGGTCCCAGCGAGATCCGCGTGCGCACGACGATCGTTGACGGATTATGGACTTGCATTTTCGTGACTTTCTCAGTGTACTTTAGTTTGTTGTTATCCATGACAGACGTAATGTCTCGTGAGGTTGTATTACAGTCCACTTTGCAGTGGGTGCTTTTCTGCGCAGACGTAGTGTTTCGTGATGTTGTATTATAGTGTACTTTGCAGTAGGCACTT